TACTGCAGGAGAAATACTTCTAAACTTACTGTCAGTTCTGGTCCTGGAGTGCTTCAGTGAATCCTGCTCTACTTTTGGAAAGAATGGTGTCTGTTTCGCAGGGTCCTTAGTGTTGTCTATATTTTAGAAACATAAAACCGCAATCAGAATGAACTTTTTGCCTTTTTCTAAACTCACTGTATGAGATTATGAAATCTCTGCTGAAAGCTTTAGGATTTTATTGGAGCATGATAACAAAGTGACATTCATAGAAATATACTTGTTGAAAATAAATTCTGCATGTCAGCTAATCTGAAGAATAGATACATAGCTATGGAAACATTGTTCCTCTTCCATTCACCAGCTCAGCAACAAATTTCCTCTTTGGCTGATGGAAAAAGTGATGGCAGCTGTACCTGCCAATACTTAATCAGGCAAACTAGGGGTTCTGTTCATCTCTAGGCTCCTGCTTTAGCACTGGGGGAAAGAACTCTCTCCCAAAGAGGAAAGGGAGATGAATGGTGCAGAGGGAAAGATGAGTTGTGGCTAGAAATGACTGCAGACAGGGCCGGCTCTAGGCACCAGCAAACCAAGCACGTGCTTGGGGTGGCACATTTTCAGGGGTGGCATTCTGGCCATCTTTTTTTGTTTTTGTTTTTTGTTGCTTCAGGCGGCAAAAGCCTAGAGCCGGCCCTGGCAGCAGCAGTGCGTGGTGCGTGCAGGGAGCCCTGGGGCTGCTACGGTTCACGCTGTGGGGGAGCTGCGCCCGTACCTTGTGGCTGGGCCGAGCAGGAGATACTCGTGCTGGGGGCCGCCCCGCGGGGCACAGGGAGCCACCTGCAGGTACCGCAGGGCGGCTGCCCCCCAGTGCCGCAGCTGGGGCTGGGCGAAACAGCCCGAGCTGCCCAGGGACTGCAGCAGGGCAGCCAGAAGCAGAAGCAGCAGCGGGGCCATAGAGGGCGGGGTGCTGTCATGCAGGGCCCGCATCCCACTCTCTGGGGCTCCACTCCCTCTGGGGCTACCCTGTCCCAGCTCCTCAGCCCCCTGCCGGGGCAGTCCCCCAGCTCTGCCCTCCTGGGTCCGGCCAGTCCTGGAGGTGGGATCCCTGGCTGGAGGGACCCTGGGCTGAGGCACGGCCCGAGAGCCCCACTGCTTACCCCAACCCTGACAGCGCCGGACTGGCTGGAGGCAAGGGGGGAGCAGGCGGAGTCAGCACTGGTGGAGGGGAGCCCAGGTCTGGGGCGGCAGGGGGTGTGGGTGGGGGGGAGGAGAGAGCTCAGGGCTGGGGCGGCAGGGGGTGTGGGTAGGGGGGAGGA